GAGTACTCCTTTGCGCCAGCGCCCTTATCGTGTGTCACCAGCCGAGCGTCGGGTAATTGCAGAACAAGTAGACGACATGCTACACCGTGGAGTCATCAAGTCTTCTTGTAGTCCTTGGTCTTCCCCAGTTGTACTCGTCAAAAAAAAGGATGGTTCAATCCGGTTCTGTGTAGACTACAAGCGCCTAAACAACATTACGAGGAAAGATGTTTACCCTCTCCCCCGCATAGACGACGCTCTCGATTGTCTCCAAGGTGCAGAATTCTTTTCCTCGCTTGACCTTCGCTCGGGTTATCGGCAGGTCCCAATGGCTGAGTCTGATCGTCCAAAAATGGCGTTTGTCACACCGGATGGCCTCTATGAATTTACCGTGATGCCATTCGGACTCTGCAATGCACCTGCCACATTTGAGCGAATGATGGACAGCATTTCATGCGGTCTCAAATGGAACATTTGCTTGTGCTATCTTGATGACGTAGTGGTTTTTTCACCCGATTTCACTTCGCATCTCACTCGTCTGCCAAGATTCTACAGTGCCTTACAAGTGCCAGGCTTCAGCTTAACCTGAAGAAGTGTCACTTCGGGGCTAAACAACTCACCATACTTGGTCATGTCGTCTCGAAAGCCGGCATTCTTCCCGACCCTGACAAGCTTCGTGCTGTTGCCGAATTTCCTAAGCCGACTACTGTTAAAGAACTTCGGAGCTTTGTGGGCCTGTGCTCCTATTTTCGTCGCTTTGTCCGGAACTTTGCCTCCATCATCGCTCCACTCACCAAACTCCTTGCTGGCCCTGCAGATCTTTCGAATTGGACAGCAGCCTGTGACGAATCCTTCGCAACACTGCGCCAACTCCTTACCTTCACCACCCGTACTGCGCCATTACGACCCTACTGCGCCAACCGAAGTACACACGGATGCAAGTGGCGTCGGCCTTGGTGCAGTACTCGCGCAACGCAAGCCAGGTTTTACGGAGTATGTGGTCGCCTATGCCAGCCGCGCCCTCACTAAGGCAGAAGCCAACTATTCTGTCACGGAAAAAGAGTGCCTCGTGATTGTGTGGGCGTTAAACAAGTTTCGCCCCTATTTGTACGACCAAACTTTTGATGTGGTAACTGACCACCACGCACTCTGTTGGCTGGCTTCGCTGAAAGATCCTTCCGGCCGCCTTGGACGTTGGGCACTACGCCTCCAGGAATTCGACATACGCGTCGTCTACCGATCGGGGCGAAAGCACTCTGACGCAGCTGCGCTTTCACGATCACCCGTGAAATCTGATGATACGGATATATCAGCCCTGTACCTTCCCCTCTCTGCCGTCAGCGTCACAGACATGCCATCCGAACAGCGGAAGGACCCTTGGATCGCCTCGCTCTTGAATATGCTGTCCGACGCATCAACTTCTGGTTACCCGCGTGCTCTTCGCCGCCAAGCAACGCATTTCGCCATACGGAATGGCCTGTTATACCATCGCAACTATCAAGTGGCGGGTCGTAAATGGCTGCTAGTCATACCCAGTCATATGCGGTCTGATATCTTCAAATATTTTCATGCTGAACCGCAACACGCACACGCCGGTGCGCTAAAGACGTATGAGCGGATCTGCCAACGTTACTACTGGCGGGGTATGTACACGTTTGTACGCAAACACATTCGCTCATGTTCCCAGTGTCAGCAGCGAGAGACATTCCCTCATTCACCCGGTCAACAGCAGCCTTTGCCATGTCCTGCACGCCCATTTGACCGTGTTGGGATTGACCTATACGGCCCGCTACCATGCTCTGTTGGTTGTAATCGATGGGTGATTGTGGCTGCCGACCATCTGACAAGGTACGCCGAAACGGCAGCGCTACCTTCGGCTGGCGCTCGTGGCGTTGCAACCTTCATCTTGCACCGGTTTGTTCTTCGTCATGGTGCACCACGGGAGCTCCTGAGTGACAGAGTACGCGTATTTTTGTCCGAAGTTCTGCAGCAGCTCCTACATTCATGCCGTACGGCACACCACACATCAACAGCCTACCACCCTCAGAAGAACGGCCTAACGAAACGTTTCAACAGAACCCTCGGAGACATGCTCGCTATGTATATTGATTCCGACCACTCCAACTGGGACGTTGTTCTCTCTTTCGTGACGTACGCCTACAATACTGCGATTCAATCAACAACAGGCCTTTCTCCATTGTTACTTTTATATGGTCGTGACCCATGCAACACACTCGACACAATTCTGCCATACAATCCTGATGCCTCCGAGTTCAGCCCAGTTTCTGAAATGGCCGAACATGCCGAAGAGTGTCGTCAACTTGCAAGGTTCTTCACAGCCGATAACCAAGCCCTCCAAAAAGATCGCCACGACCATGATCTTGTTCAGAATACCTTCCCCGTCGGTTCTCTCGTGTGGCTCCGACTGCCTTTCCACTCTCCTGGACTGACTCCCAAGTTTGCACCGAAGTATACCGGCCCTTACCGCGTCATACAGCACCCTTCTTCTGTCACCTATGTGATTGAACCACTCAAGCCGTCCACGTACAAGCGCCGCCTTGGTCGTGAGACGGTCCACGTCAGTCGCCTCAAGCCCTGTTACGACCCTCCTGTTCTCTCATCACCTTGAGTCGCCAGGATGGCTCGTCTTCGTCGCCGGGGCATTGTAGCGGGGAATTCGCAAGGCAACGACTAGTGGGACCATCGCTGAGTGCGAAGCGCGAGCGGGAGCACGAGCTGTAGACGCTGGACTGCCCGAGCATTTGTTTCCGTACCGGCTGTCTGCCTATTACCTGGCGTCGCTATTAAACCCCCTTACAATATATATTGTTACCATAGAGATACACATTACATACAACCTTCCTTTATTGCACTCAACCATAATGCATTCGATGTGAACAGTACCATAACGTCCATTCTAAGTGGCGTAAGAGAATAACTTTGACACCAGTGTATTTAAACACATATTTGGGTAGAGCCCCACTGCTGGCCCCCGCCGGGAATGCACATCATCACAAGAGCACGATTGGCCACCCTGGTGCTGCCCTTGGCCACTACCTCCAGCATGAATGCACCAAATAACTCTCGGGCCTCGGTCCCCAGCGGCTGCGAAGCACTGTCCTAGGCCGTTGTCATACTGGTCATGCCATGGAGGGTGCTAAAAATCACTGGGTCCGGACAGGTTGTCACTGAAATCTTAACTTGGCTACGTTTAATGGTAGAACGCTACCTAGTGAGGCTACTCCAGCAGTGCTAATCGAGAAATCAGAGGGTGTTAAATGGGATGTAATAGGGCTCAGTGAAGTTAGAAAGACAAGTGAGGCTTATACACTACTGAAGCAGCAACAATTCTTATGATGTCGTGGCTTATTCGACAGAAGAAAACTATAGGGTTGGGTTCCATATGCATAAAAATACAGCGGGCAACATAGAGAAATATTGCAGCTTCGTCGAAAGGATGGAAAGCATCGTAATTAAGTTCAAAAAGAGGTACAAGAAAACGTTGGTACGGGATTATGCACCTACATCTAGCCATGATGACGTATTAGCTGAACGTTTCTACAAAAACGTAGAATCAGCAATGGCATACTGCACTGATGGGCTACTTTTACGCAGGCTGGAGACCATGAAGTGGGTAATCTGACATTGGGTCTATAATGACAGAGTAATTACTAGTAGAGTTCAAAGAATGTAATGTTTTAGGGATCTTCAATACCTTCTTTGGAAAATGGGTAACTGTAAGTAGAGTCTTAATCGCGAAATTAAAAAGTAGTTCATTCTGTGTGCACACCCTAGCATCGTACAGCATGTGGAAGAAGTTGGCAAGATCTGCTTCAGTGACCGTAGAGTGTTAAGGCCTCGAATTCGCATAGACGGGAAAAAACAGCTGAAACTCACACGAAAGAAGTCAATTAATTAGCTAGCCAGGCATTTTGCTGGGATATTGCGTTCATGGTATCGTGAACATTTAAAGTATACTCTCTCGGTTCACATCGATACAACATTCATTCGGATAACTTGTTATTTCCCTCTATACCGCACGTCTCATCATTAGTACTAGAGAGGCATAGTTTGTCTTGGAGAGAAATTTTTGTTTTCTGAACTTTTGTTTTCTGAAAAGCATATCCGCCCGCTTCTTTGCTGAGCGCTGTTACACGTTGTGCCTAGCTGTAACTCAGTAAACGAGCACAGCAAGAAGTCGACTTGCTCGGGCGCCTTGAGCCACGCGGATCATCTCTTGCTCGCGGGTATGTCACGCGTCCGGCGTCCGCACTCCCACTACGCATGCGTGACTCACCTCTTTCCCTATATCCAACAGCTACGCGTTCCTCTCTAATCTTTTTCTCCTACCACATGCTTCTGCTCGCTCCCCTATTGCGAATGCGCGTCCCCTCTGTCTCCTCTCTAACGCTCTCTTTCTCCTGCCTAGCAACTCCAACGCAGTGAGCGACGAGTAACCTACGTTCGCTCCCCCTCTCCTCTCGGCATTCCTCCCCGTGGCGTCTTAAAATGCTGACGCGATTAGCATCTGCTAGTTTCTAGATCAGAAACACCGACTGCTGCGCTGCAGAACTACGATGCCCCGTGTTACCCCATGGTCCCCTTTGTGTAGATGGTGTTTTTTTTGTTTTTGCTGCCGCTAACTGGATTACATTAAGGCCACCGCCGCTGAAATGAAGAATATGAATAAATCAAAACTAACGACTAAACTGCTAGCACTTTTAAAAATGAAAACAAAATAAAGCTTCGTACCTAACTGCATTCCGATCGGTGAAAAGAATATAAAACAAGAAAATACGCGTATGACTAAAATCCAATGAACATACAACAGGACAAAAACCAACAATTCGAAAAGTAACAAAAGCTAAATACAAGTAGTATTCTGTGTTCATTTGACTTGCACGCATTTTGAAAATGATTCGCATCTGTATATATCGACAAATGAACACACGTACGCAAATGCGCTCACATTTTGGCGTTAGAGAGTATCGTAATCGTCCATTCTCGTATTTTCTTTTCAGCGTCTTTGAACGTGAACGCTGGGCGCAAGCTCGAGGAATCGCAGCCACATGGTAAGAAAGCACCCTCTGTGTAGGCGACATTATGATCCACCCCATGAGCTTGTTCTGATATGTAAAAGCGCATATGTGCCTTATTCCGCACACGTTTGTGCTATCACTGGTGGCTTAAGTTAGCCCTGCGCTCCTCGATTACGTCTTGTATATTATTGCATGCAACTATATTGCCATATATGCTACCAGCACGTTTGGCAGCCTAAATATTTTTTTCCTGCTAATGCACAACCACACGCAACACTTGTATATAACATCACCCTTTCATCATACATAACCCGAAAATGGCTTTGAATTTCGTGGGATGATCGGGCCCTGATTCAACTGAGCTCTGAGCTTGTCTTTCGCAGTGAACCCATTCGCCTGTTACATGCCACCTGACCATGGACCATGCCGTGCATCCATCCCTCGCTATTACTTCGACAATGAAACACAAACGTGCCAGGAGTTCACCTACGGAGGCTGCCAGGGCAACGCCAACAACTACGAAACGGCGGAGCAGTGCAAGGCCAGCTGCAAACGTGAGTAGCCAAGTTACGAGTATCAGCAGGTCAGAGAGGCCATGGCCTTTTGTTGGTATGTTACAATATTCGGCGACAACTTGAAGGCGTTTTCCTTTTACCTGGAAGCAAAGTTCTAGCTGTAATCGTCACCTTATTCATTGTCACAATAAATTTGAAATAAAAGGCTTTTTTTTGGTGAATACCAACACGCACAAACACTAATTCATAGTTACATCGTCTATTTACGCAAAAAGGGAAGTTCAGAAAATAGAGATTGCACTGCACTGAGCAGCTTTATTTTTGAAAATGGCAGAATTCGTGGGACGCCGAATTTTTACAAAACAACGAATGTGCCTCTCTGAAAACAGAAGAAGAAATCATATTCATTTGTTTAGTCAAGTTTTGTCGCAGTGCAAGAGGACGAGGTAAAGACTCTAGGCAGAAAAATTTTAAGGCAGAATTCAGGCGACAATTCGTCTGTGAAATTATCACTTGCCCCTTAACCGGGGCAAAGGATTTCGTCAACGTTCGCACAGTGCTCGCGTGTTTCTTGGTCTTTTCAAAATGATCATTTGGACGCGTTCAATATACATCAGTTATACTATTAGCCCCAAATATTCCTGTCTGCCATACCTGCTCAGTGATAAAGCTTGCTTACAAACGAAAAAAAGCTTCGCACATTCCCCCTTTGATGGTACAGTCAACGGACGCGTTGAGCTGGACCCGAGTTTGGTGATACAACCAATGACGTTACGTTGTGGTTGAAGAAAATTGAATTTGGCCCTAAGCAAGCATCTAAAGCAAAACGTGGACCTATCTGCACCTTCACATATTGTCTAAGCTTTCCCATCCCAGTTTGCCGTCCGACTGAAGTTCGTGTCTAAGCTTGGGTGCACTGTGTTTTTGCAGCCGAGACCGAGTACGAAGCCAAATGTCTCGCCAGGCCCGAGAGGGGGCCGTGCCTGGCGTACATTCCTATGTGGGGCTACGATGCCAACCTGGGTCAGTGCGTGGAATTCATATACGGCGGCTGTGACGGTAACGACAACAAGTACCCCACTAAGGAAAAGTGCCTAAAAAGCTGCAAGAAATCAACCCCAGGTAATGTGTCCATGCAAAGTTTGCGCAAAGCTGATTTGAGCAATGTAATCCGAATGAGTATCACTGATATATATCTCAATGGGGAGCATTCTTATGACGAGGAAAATCACCCTTCGCGGTGGTCGAGTGGCTAAGGCACTCGGTTGCTGACCCGCCGGGCGCGGTACTGAATTCGAGCCGCGGCGTCCGCATTTTCGTTGTGGTGAAAATGCTTGAAGGCCATTTGCTTAGATTTAGGTGCACGTTAAAGAACCCCGGCTGGTCAATAATTACGGAGAATTCCAATACGGCGTCTCTAATATATGTATGGTGTTTTGGGGACGTTAAACCCAAACTATTAAAATGATTATAATCAGAAAATGTAGTCATTCCTGAAATCAACGCTAATGGGCTGACGCCACGAGAGTTCTTTGTACTATCCTGGCATTGGTACTTCATTGCCCGGACGCGGGTAATACCTGAATGTACGAAATGAATATATATTTAACACATGAAGATCAGATTAGGGTACACCTGCAATTAGGCCAACAATCAGTATTGATCACATTCTCATATTTGCAAAAAAAGTTGTTACTTACAAGCTCAACCAGCGCAATAACAAAACATCCAAGTGAACTGTCTGACATTGACCCTTTTCACTTTGTGATTTTGAGTCAAAGTACAAAACCTTCAATTCACTCTGGCAATTAAAAGCCATGGTTTCAAAAATGGTAAATTGCACGCCTTCTGGGAGTTGGTTTCATGCGTCGTCATCGGCGGGTAATTATCTACCTTTACTATTTTTTTACCTTGAATCAAACTTCACAAGGTTAATCGACGCATTTGGTATGTGTTGTACTTGTGTGCAAATTGTGGGCTTACCAGGAATGTCGCTTACACCGGCGTTTAAAAAAAGGAAATTTTCGTCTAGATCGAGTCACGTAAGCAGTCACGTAAGAATACATATGTGAGTACAATAATGACAAAGTCCCTTTACGATGCGATGGTAATTCAAATTTACCTCACCCACATATTTCAAAACGACGAGTCATGGAAAAAGATAAAACAAGAGATGATCGTTTGGTTTAAAGAATGCAATGACGACTACGACGAAGACTTGCTTGTAAACCACCATCCACAAACAGCTGCACTCAGACGTCAATTTTACAGGTAGCCTTCAACCATTCGAACGCACAACAAGATTCGACCTCTCACAAAAGACGAAGTTGCACACGAGTTCAGTGGCAGATGACAATGCGTATTTTGGGAAAAACACAGCTATCGAGCGCGCCTCCCTTCTGCACGAAAGTCGGCATTTGCGAAGTCATTGCTCCAGCATATGACACGAAACGTTGCTCAACCACCTGATGCCGTTCACTCTTCGTCTAGCATACGTGGTCCTTCACCTGTGCTTTCATCATGCGGTTCTTCAAGCGCTCCTGACGCTCACTATTTGCCTTATAAGGAGGCCGTATTTATGGTAGCTGACCTGGCGCATCGGGAAAATACCCTGTCGAGCCATGCTCCTTCCGCACGGGTTCATGCATCGCCATCCAGTGCACACACACTCGACAGTGGAAGCAACACCGAAGGCTCAGATGCATCAAACGTCGCACGCTGCAATGCGGAAGAGCCTCTCGTAGTGAACAGGGTAGAAGAAGCTTCTGAAGAACTTTCTACCAACTCTGAAGCATTATTTTTATTGCCCGAAGTGCATGACAACAGCCTAGAAACTACCAGCTGCCGACTGGGCACCATATCAAGTTGTGAAGAAACCCAGCGCGATGTTCAAGAAGCGATGTCACTGCAATGCGTTCCACAGCAACATCAGCAATGCCATCAAAAGCAAGTCCAAGAATCGCAGACACTCCAACGAATACACCGACAAGGACGACGACGCAAAGCAAGCCTCCTAAAACAAACTCAAGACGTCAGGCATCTTCGCCTAAGAGATCGGCGCCAGAAACACATTTGGCGCAAAAGATCAAGACTGCGCCTACGATTACAGCTCCGAAACAGCAGAAAATGCCGAAAGAGACGAGAAGGCACCATCTGTACAACGCAGAGACCAAGACATCATTCTGATTTCATCAGCTGCGACCATCGCACATGCAAACTAGAAGCACATCATCTGTTCCCGTCACGAGACGCAACTCGACGCCTTCAACGTCCGAACTTCAAGTGCTACGGGGACTTCCACTCTTGTCCGTTCCTACGCAAGAACTAAACCCATGTCACCACCAGTGCAGATCTCCAGGGTGTGGTTATGCCATCCAGAACGCAACAGTCAGCCTCGCCCACCAGAACTCTTGCGTTAACCGGACTGCTGCACTCTCCACTGAAGTATTCGAAAGTTTACGGAACTCCTCTGGCGCATAGAACCAATTGTGACTTTTGACATTTGTGACTTTTTCACCTCTCCTTGTTTACTTTTTCTTGTTCATAATTCATGCCTTCTTTCAGAGGGAGGGGGAATCATGTAACATAAGTAGGTATTGACTGAAGATAGAGGCGGAGGAAGAAGTCAGAGTAGAATAAACAAGGGGTATGAGCCAGGCCACGTCGCCCATTCATCAATAGCGTCACACACACACACACACACACATGTATATATATATATATATATATATATATATATATATATATATATATATATATATATATATATAATATATATATATATATATATATATATATATATATAATATATATATATATATATATATATATATATATATATATATATATATATATATATATATATATTGTGAAGAAGAAAACGCATCGTTGGCAAGCAACATCGCCACCGCTTGGGTACTGGGTGCTGGGCTTCTCTCACTCAGCTCGTGCTGATCATCGCCGACATCTGCTTGGCCATTGCTCTTTCCCTATCGTGTTTCATCGTAGAACCACCGTCGCAACAGTGGCCAATATGCCCTTTTTCAATTGGTGGAGGGTGCTGACATTCCCCGTCGCCTGAATCTGGGTGCTGCCATTCGCCGTCGCGTAAACCTGGAGCTGCGCAATCGAACGCTACCTCCTATCATGGCTACCAACAACGCGCAACCTCGCTCTTCCACTCCATCCCCCAGCAACCCTGGCGTTTTTCGTTTGCGAGAGCCCAAAGTCTTTAGCGGAGCTGATGAGACCGACGTGGAAGACTGGTTCACTAACTACGAACTGGTGAGCGCAAACAACAAATGGGATGACGCGGACAAACTGACTAACGTCATCTTTTACCTCACTGACGTGGCCTAAATGTGGTATTACAACCACAAAAACGACATTAGGACGTGGTCCATCTTCAAAACGTCGTTTGCTGATGTTTTCGGCCGACCCGCTGTCCGCAAGTCTAGAGCCGAACAACGCTTGCGGACTCGCGCACAGAAGCCATCTGAATCGTTCACCAGTTACATCGAAGACATTATTGGTCTTTGCAACCGTGTGAACACCGCCATGCCCGAGTCAGAGAAGATTCAACACATCCTCAAAGGGATAAATGACGGCGCATTTCAGATGCTCCTGGCGCGCAATCCTGCCACCGTTGCGGAACTTGTGGCTTTATGTCAAAGTTTCGACGAGTTGAGGAAGCAGCGCGCCTGACTCGGCCATTTTCCTCACACGCTGACTCACTATCTAGTCTTACTTCTGTTCCTGATTACTCAGCAACCTTGTAAGAGATCAAAGACTTTGTGCGTGAAGAAGTAGCTCGGCAGCTGTCATTGATTCCCTTCACGCAGCAGCCGCCGTCCTCTCGTCTGCCCTCGCCACTCCGCGACGTTATTGCTGAAGAGGTAGCTCAGTCTGTTCCTGTCGCTGCCCACCAGCAGCCTGTAGCCACCTGTTCCCCATGCGCCGGCTATGAAGCCCATGGCCACGCCTCTTACTTATGCCCAGGTGGTACGCAGCAGACCCCGCCAGCAGCTTTTGCCACCCATGCCTGCAGTTGCTCCCCACTCTACCCCTCTTTCGACACCTTGGGCCGCACCACGAGTCAGCAATTCCTGGCGCACTGCTGACAATCGACCGATATGCTACGCCTGCGATATTGTCGTCGTCGCTTCCAATCGCAACGCAACGCTACTTGGCCGTTACCGTATGACCCGCAGCCCACGCACCTACCTGCTCCCTATCCTTCACCGCAGTGTGGCTACACTAATCTTCCCGAGTCTCAGTCACCCCAGCCCCCAGCTACGACTCACTCTCCCGCTCGCCGTCTCCTCGCAGGCGATCTCTGTCCCCAATGCGTCCCCGACCCGCTTTCTCCAACCGGGAAAACTGAACGCCGCAGTTCCAGAAGCAAGAACTGCGCCGTCATCGAAATGCCCAAGTCCTCGCACTTCACCTGCTAACGTCGTCGCCATATCGGTCGATGGTGTTTCTACCTTTGCCCTCATCGACACAGGTGCTGCCGTTTCTGTTATAGCCGCCCATGTCTGCCGCTCTCTACGCAAAGTGACCATGCTGCTCTCTGGACTATCGCTTTGTACGGCTAGCGCACAACCAGTTCGACCTCTAGGCACCTGTACAGCCCGCATTTTCATCCAAGGCTCTGTGTACGTTGTCGAGTTGATCGTCCTTTCGGTGTGCTCGCATGACGTTATCCTCGGGTGGGACTTCCTGTGACATCATCATGCCGTCATCGACTGCGCACGCGCTGAAGTTCAATTTTCGCACCTGTCTGACGAACCTATGCACGAAACACTTGAGCGGTCCCCAAAACTTGTCGTACGTGAAGACGCTGAAATTCCGCCAGCCTCTCTTGCCGTTGTCCCTGTTTGCTGCGATGACCATAACGATGCTACAGTAATGTTTACACCTTCCGAGATTTTCATGAGCCGCACGCAGAGCCGTTTCCTTGCCTTTCGCTACACTCGACGTCACTGCTGGCCGAAGCAATATTTTCGTCCACAACCCCCTTTCTGCACCGCTTACGCTACTTGCCGGTGAATGTCTCGGTCGAGTGGAGTACCTCGATTAATATTTATTTCTTAACATGCCAGACAAATTGTGCAGTAGCG